ACACACACACACACACACACACACACTCAGCATAAACAAACTACATACTCGTACGGTAAAATACAGTTTCTCAATATTTTATTTTACAGCACATTACAAAAGAAATATTTCTTATTTAAATATTTTGATAATACTAATAATAATAATAAAATCACAATATAAATCATAATTATAATTATTTTTATTGTTATCATCTTAAAGCCATATTAAAAGGGTCAAAAACAGTGGGAATGTGGCCTATTTGTTTACTTTATTGTTACTGAAAGAGGTTTAAATTTGTTCTTGTAAAGAGTGAACCCAAAATTCGAACACCCTTAAAAACACCCTTATTCTTGCCTTTTTGTGTCTGGATGTCGAAGCAGCAGCAATATGAGATGTTAAATGTTTATCATATCACCGTTCAAATGTCTGGTCATTTTTTAATCAGTGAGATACTATTAAAGTTTTTATTAATATTCTGAATTAGATTTTATTTTTATTATTATTTTTTAAATATTTATCAGTTTTATTTTGTAGTAGCTGAAATCAAATAAATTAAAAGTTTTTATTTCAGTTGAAGTTTAATGTAATTTCAAGTAATGGTTTTAGATTTAGTTAACTATAATAACCCTGGTTCAAATCACAATCAGAAAAATTACATTTATATTTTTTCCAAATCGTTCAGCCCTAAAAGGACGGTTTGCACTCAAATTTTTTTTTTTTTTTTTACTTTTTTAAATTTTATTTTCTATGAAAATTTACTCCCCTGTAAAATCACCCCCCTAATCATTTTAGGAGTATTAATACTTTCCCAAATATTACAAACTATTTAAGTCATTTGATCCGTTTTCACATTGCAATATATACACTACCGGTCAAAAGTTTGGGATCAGAACGATTTTTAATGTTTTTACAGGAGTCTCTTCTGCTCATCAAGGCTGCATTTATTTGATCAAAAATACAGGAAAAAATTTAATATTGTGAAATATTATTATGATGTAAAATAAAATTTTTCTATTTTAATATACATTAAACTGTAATTTATTTCTGTGATGCGCAGCTGTATTTTCAGCATCATTAAAGAGCATTTATTTAAAATAGAAATCTTTTCTAACAATATACACTAGCGTGTTCGGGGTCAGTAAATTTTTATTCTTTCTTTTTCTGAAAGAAATTACAACTTTTATTCAGCAAGGATGTGTTAAATTGTTAAGAAGTGATAGCAAAGATTTATATTGTTAGAAAATATTTATATTTTGAATAAATGCTTTTCTTTTTAACTTTTGATTCATCAAAGAATCCTGAAAAAAGTATCAATTTCCTAAAAAACTGTTGATAATTTTAATAATAAATCAGCATATTAGAATGATTTCTGAAGATCATGTGACACTTTATACTGGAGTAATGATGATGGAAATTCAGCTTTGCATCACAGAAATAAATTATATTTTAAAGGATATTCATATAGAAACCATTATTTTATATTGTAATAACACTGTTTTTTTTTGTATTTTTGATCAAATAAATGCAGCCTTGATGAGCAGAAGATACTTCTTTAAAAACATTACAAGTCTTACTGATCCCATACTTTTGACCGGTAGTGTATATATATATTGCAACAATTTGTTTTTGCAATATTGTATGTGAGTGTGTTTGTTTACCTGAGACAGAAGCTGTTCTGTTTTGTCCTTCCACACGTGTCCCTCCTCCTGTATCTGTCCAGCGTACTGATCTCTCTCCACCTGCAGCTGAGCCACCGACTCCATCAGCTGCACACACACAAACACTCAGAAAATCAGGATGACATTCAGGACTAACACAGACACAAACATGCCCCAAATTACAGCAGCACACACCTGAGCCGCGTGAGCCTCTATCTGGTGCTTTTCTTCCAGGAGGAGCTGAACCTGCTGGTGCTCAGACGGAGAACCCGCCTGACTGGAGAACTGCAGGAGCGATGTGAAGAGGGATTTCACATCACAGGAATACTATCATGAGCACAGTAAATGTTTAAAGCGTCTCCTCACCTGCTGCAGCATGCTGTCGGCCATCTCCAGCCGCTTACGGAGCTCATCAACCTCCTGCTTCAAGCCGTTGTTCTCATTTACTCTCAGCTTGAGATGCTCGGACAGCTCTGAGCTCTGCTGTCTGGACTCCTCGCTCACATTACTGACAGAGACCATATTCATATAACATACACTCATATGTGACTCTGGACCACAAAACCAGTCATAAGGGTCAATTTAAAAAAATTTAGATTTATGCATCAGCTGAAAGCTGAATAAATAATATTTCCATTGATGTATGGTTTGTTAGGATAGGACAATATTTGGCTGAGATACAACTATTTGAAAATCTGGAATCTGAGCTTGCAAAAAAATCTAAATATTGAGAAAATCATCTTTAAAGTTGTCCAAATGAAGTTCTTAGCAATGCATATTACTAATCAAAAATTAAGTTTTGATATATTTACGGTAGGAAATATACAAAATATCTTCATGGATCATGATCTTTACTTAATATCCTAATGATTTTTGGCATAACAGAAAAATTGATAATTTTGATCCATACAATGTATTGTTGGCTATTGCTACAAATATACCCCAGCGACTTACTGCTTTTGTGCTGCAGGGTCACATATAACACCTGCTGCTGAATGAGGAGTAAAAAACAACTGAAGAGTCTTACCTAAACCTGAGGACCTCTAATCGTAGACTGTCTCGCTCCTTCTCAAGCTCTCTATTATGCTGCAGAAAAAACCGAACAAGGCTTTTTGAACTTGAACCGTGTCGTTTTGGTCAAATGCAGCTGATAATGAAGAGGTTCTGGTACCTTCTCAAACTGCTTCTGTTGTGTGGAGACTGAAGATAGCGTCCTCTCTAGCTCAGACACTCGCCGTTTACTGGCCTGCAGCCGCGAGCTCAGATCTTCTGCCTCTGCTGCACAAACACACAGCAATGGACACGTTAGTATATTACAAGGTGGATCAAGAATATGTGACCCTGTCTGTGAAATCCAGGCTAAAGTCTCAAAATCTAATTATGAGATAACAAGCATCAAAGTTTGATTTCAACCATTAATTTCACTATGATTTCAATCTTTGACATGGCCTTACTCAGTCAGTATTAAAGATATCAAGGTTACATTTTCACAGAATGTTCTTTACATTATGATTTTATGTAAAACAGTAAATCACAAAAAAAAAAAAGGCTTTAGCTGGGTTTTCACAGACAGTCATATATGTGCAGGTCATACTGCAGGACAAAATCTAAAAAAAAAATAATAATAATACAGGAAAGAAATTATATATTGCATAAAGAAAAAGAAGTTTATTTTTATGCATAATATATTTTTTTGTAGTTGCCAATGTAATTTCACAAAAATCTAATTGTAATATTTCTTAAAAGACCAACTGAGTTTAGTTATATTTTAGAAAAAATCCCATTTAGAGTCAAATTTCTGAAAATTATAAGTGAGATTAATACAAGTTTTTATAGCTTCGATTCAGATTCAGGTGTATTATTACAATGTAAATCTCATAAGAATATGTCCAGGTCTTCTTTCACCACAAAATCTTAAGAAATAAAAGTAAGTAATTATATTTTGCGGAAAGAAAAAGTTGTCTAATATTTCAATGGTCCTAATGTAAATGAGTTCTGCTGTCAATAAAACATCTGATTTTTTTCAATTTACATATATTCATTACAAATATTTATCCTTTCCTTAAAAAAAAAACAGCTGAGTTCACTACATTTTGCAAAAACCTATTTAGAGGCAAATTTCAGGAAAAAATAAGATTAACATAAGTGCTGTAATATTTTACACATGATCTATGTCCTGGACATGTTCTTAACATGTTTTTTGAGAATCACCCAAATAATATCATGATTCTGAGCATGTTATCATCACACACACACACACACAGACACACACACAGACACACTCTCTCACACACACACACACTCTCACTCACACACACAGACACACACAGGTTTGTTTTTGTGAAAAGTGGGGACTCTCCATAGGCGTAATGGTTTTTCTACTGTACAGACCGTATATTCTATTGCCCTACACCAACCCTACCCCTAAACCTACCCCTCACAGGAAAC